AAGAAGTAAAAAAGTCAAAGTTCAAGGCTACCATCATGCCTGGGATTGAGGGCAAACTCCCAAAGAGGGAAGAACTGCAGAGAAGATTATCAAACTGTAGGTACAAATTTCCATCAAAACAGTGACCTAAGTTCCCAAACTCAACATACACAAAAAAGATGCCAAAAAACTCACCGGAAAGCAGAATCTTAGAGTCTAATAAACTAGATAAAGATTTTTTGGCATCCAATAGAAGTTAGACTTCAAGCCTTGATAAGGTACAGAGATACTCAGGGCCTTCAGCTGAGACCCTACCACACCCTTGGAATCAGGGCAATACAATATTGAAATAGAATAGACCTAACAAAGCTTAAAATCAAGCCTTTACAGGATCAAAGTATACAGGACCTGCCATATTTTTCTACCTTCCAGAAAAAAACTTAACCCTTTAAAGGTAGATAACATTATCTAGAATATCTCTAGTTTTTTCAAACATGATGTCCAGGATCCAATATACAATTATGAGCCGTGTTAAAAATCAAATCCAAATGACTATACACTAAGAGAAAAAATATTAATAGAAACAGACTAGATGTTAGAATTGACAGGAACTTTAGATAATCATGATTAATAGGTTTAAGAAAATAGAGTAAAAATGGACAAAAATAAAAAGATGGGTAATTTACTTCAGTATAGAATTGGAATCTATGGAAAAAATCAGATGGACATTTTAAAACTAAAAATTACAATAACTGGTCCTTGCAGGGCTGTGACCTGCATCCAAGCTTGACTCCCCAGGCCTGACCCTGCAGCCCAGAGTGGTGCAGCAGCTGGTAAACAGAATAGATGAAAGGAAAAAATGGGATGCAAGGCACTCTGTCTGCGACACCGAGGCACAGCTGGGTCTGTGGGCGGAGCATCCTTGAGGTCATCTGCACATTCTGACTGGGAAAAGATGGTCAACGTCTTGAAAGGAGTGCTTATAGAATGTGATCCTGCCATGAAGCAGTTTCTGCTGTATTTGGATGAGTCCAGTGCCCTGGGGAAGAAGTTCATCATTCAAGACATTGATGAAACTCATGTCTTTGTAATAGCAGAGTTGGTTAATGTCCTCCAGGAGCGAGTGGGTGAATTAATGGACCAAAACGCTTTTTCTCTTACCCAGAAGTGAAAATAGTAGATATTGACCACTTGGGAATTACAAGCAGCAAATGTGAAA